GGGTGTGGCCTGCCAGGTTAGCCCTAGCGGTTACGGGTCCAACGGTTACTAAATCTGGACCGTTGGATGACCTAGATCGAACGGCTGGGGTGTCGGGACGTCTTTTCACCTCCCCCATTTACCTTGCCTATAAATAGGGGAGGGGTTGCTGGTGAACTTACTTGCTGTAAATTTGCCGAGCGCTCTCGACTTCAGAAGTAATCGAGCAAACCGATCAAAGGTAAATTTTGTATTCTTTATTCTGCTTAATAAATGGATAAGGACTATTCCTCGGGTAGGACTTGTACATCTTCGGAGGCGTCGGGCCGTTCGTCGGATCGAGAGGAATCAGGTTCAAGTGAAATATCACGGTTGCCTCCCTTACAATGTGAAGTGGTATTTCCTTCCGATTTTGCTGAGCAGGAGGATAGTGGGGACGAAGTGATAGAAGTATCACCCCCATTGACTTTGGCCGTGGCTTTAGCACGAGCCACCGAGGTGGATGATAGGGGTTTCGGACAGGTCGGCGAGCAAAGCGCTCCGGCCTAGGTGACTCACGCCGAGGCGATTGAAGATGCTTTGGCAGTGGTTGATGATGGTCGGGGCAAAGCCGTGGCTGCTCCGAGGACTCAGCCAAAGGTGAAGATTGATTACGGAACGGTGGAGATGCCCGGGTGTGAATGGGTAGACGGAGAGGTCGGAGTGTACTTTTCAAAGTTATCCGACCAAGAGTTGTTGGATACTTTCGTGTCTTTAGAGAAATGTTTCGGGAGTGGGGAGGACGAGTTCTCGTTGCTTGCCGAGGCGTGCGAGGACGATGGGCCGAACACTGTTTTCGTGTTCTTGGAGCCAAGATCCGATGAGGATGACAATTTCTACGCCTATATGTGTTGGTTTCAGGATCTCGGCGTGACATTGCCCTTCGATGATTTTCAGATGGGAGTCCTCCGTGCTTTAAACGTGGCGCCGACCTAGCTACACCCTAATGCTTGGCCGGCCATGCAAGCATTCCGTAATCTATGCTTATGCCTCGGTCTAACACCTCGACCTCTTGCCTTCCTCTATTATTACATTTGCCAGCCGAGCAAGCCGGTGAAATGGGTGTCGTTATCTCGAGTGCCGAAGCGTGGGTTTCTCCGAGCATTCACCTCCTCTTATAAGGGATTTAA